ATTCCATTATCGAATTTCTTTTCTTTTATGCTTTATGGCAGAAAATAAATCAAACAAACAGTATTTTGAAAGTGCTTTATCAAAATCTTTGACGAAGTTTTGACACACGACCCTGAAAGAACAGCAAAACTAGTCATGTATTCGAAAGCAAGTTCTTGACAGCCAAGATGTCTTTGCTGTTCTGCCAACTGGCTTCGGCAAAAGTCTTATTTATCAAGTCCTACCGGCGTTGTTTTCTGAGCTACATCGCCTTCTTCGTTGTACGATTGAGAATTTCGTTGTTCCTGTTGTTAGCCCGCTAGAGCGGTATAACCGTGTTCAGCAAGTTTAGACCTTGAGACGGCTTGGCATTCAAGCCGTGCACAGAACTGGCTAATTAAATCTTTGTTTGCTACTTTGCTGTTTGGCTAAGTAGAGAAACTGAACTCTTAATTATATAGAAGTACCTTGAATTTTTAAGTTTAATTAAAAAGCAAAATGCGCACTCTGCGGACATGTTCACGAGAATATAATTTTTTTTGCAATGAAAATTATGAAATCTACAACACTTGCCAATCATATTGCATGACTGTGTCTAAAAATAACATGTGGGCGTCCCACGGTCTAGACAGGTTTTGTGTCAGGCCCTATTTAAAATTAGGGCCTGAATTTCAGGGCTTGAAATATTTTCATAATTTTTGAACCGTCGACTGATTCGACGACTGATGAATTTATCAGCATTTACATATCAAACAAAAAAGATAAGTTAGTTAGAAAAGTTGTACAGTGACATATATTACAGTTTTATCTGTTCTTTCTGCCTAAATTTGTTTTTGCATTTCATGCAATAAACTCTCCTGTTTTCATGGCAATGGCGTCCATGCATGCAGGGGCAAATATCACAAAAGATAAGACTTCGTATAGACATTCAGGCAATTACGCCAAAGCTAAAAATATATTTTAAATAACTTTCGAAATATTTCTATGTGCCCTATATAATTTGGAGATAAAATCATAAAAAGATAGATCACGCATGCTGTGCCCCCCCCCCCCAATAATTATGTATATTCATTATATTCATGTGTGACTGATCATGAATGACTCGCATGTCTTGGGTGCCTGGCGTGCAAACACAAATAGAACGCGATGATATCTCTCCGAGGAATTTCAACACACTGCACGTATAGTTTGATAGGTTTGATAGTTTATTTGACACTAAAACTTACAGCTCCAGAATATAACTAATTCCACTGCTGAAATATGTTAGGTTTACAGGGATATTAAAACTAATTTTACATGTATTTGTTTAAGAAAACGAATAAGATTAGACTAAATACTTAAAAATACACATTCACATATATAACTGTATGCGCAGACTTATAATTTGTTACTAAAACACTCACTATACTAATTTAGATTAGGTTAAAAACCAGCATATTCGCGGTAAAAAACAGTTTCTAAGTTATTCAAAAAACTTATTAGAGTTATAAGTGATAAAACTGTTCCTAAATCTGTTCGTTTTATGAAGTGGCACGTTAAATTTCCTATTTTTACGCAAAAAATGACTATTGTCATTATTTAATGGCGGTAACAAATCCGTTAATTTGTGCTCAGGATTATTGACTATGTTCTTAAAAAGTTTTGTTGTTAATTCCTGTCTTCTATCGTACAGTGATGGGGTGTTCGTGTTCCTCAATGCTTCTTTGTAGTGTTGATCTGGGAATATTATTCGAAAAGCTCGTTTCTGAAGTCTTTCAAGATCATCAGACAGATATTTGGGTAATGAGTCGTGAAATGCTTGGCACGCATACTCGATGACTGGTCGAATACAGGTGGAGTAGAAAAGGATTAGGTCGTTAACTGGTAATTTCGCTCGTTTTAGTTGTCTTAAAAAATATAGACGAGGTGCGACCTTTATACAAACGTGTGAAATATGACTATTCCACTTCAAGTTATTTGAGATGGTTAGACCTAGCAAATTTACCGATGTTACACGTTCGACAATTTTCCCATTAATAGTAATTGGCTGGAACTCACGTATGCTTGGTGCAAAGCTTATACACAACTCTTTGCATTTTAATTCGTTTATCTGAAAACCGTTAGCTGTTGATTTCTGGTTAAATTCATCTACGTACTTTTGTAAGTTACTTGGACCTTCTCTACAAACTGATTCCGACAAGGATGAGTCGTCAACATATTTCCATAAATCATTAACGTCCTTAACGCTTAGATCATTAATCATAATACAAAATAACCATGGGCCGAGCTTTGTGCCTTGGGGGACGCCGGCTGGGACCTTGCCCCATTCGGAATGGCAATCTTGGCTGAGTTTTACCCTCTGTTCTCGGTCAGTCAGAAAGTCTAAGATCTAAAGCATGACAGACCTCGGTATGTTATACTTTGTTAACTTCTCCGATAAAATATTGTGGTCTATTAAATCAAATGCTTTACGGAAGTCAAACGTCATAACTCGAGTTGTTGAACCGTTACCATCCGTATCCTTATTCCAAGTACGTGTTGTAGCATGCTTATAAGAGCATATGTCGTACAACTATCCGGCACCGTCCCAAATTGTTTACTATCGATCAATTCCATCACTGCTGGCTTCACATAAATCATTACAACAAATTCTTCTGCGAGTTTCGATAGAATAGGTGTAAGTGAAATAGGGCGTAACTGACGATTGATATCCTGGATGGGCTTTTCTTTCGGTATTGGAACTACGTCCGCCTTCTTCCAAACTGGCGGTAGGGTACATTCCCGATATGAACAGTTCAAGTTGGCCGCTATCGGACCAGCTAATAGATCTGCGTTTTCTTTTAGGAGCCACGACGGTATGCCATCCGGACCATGAGCTTTTTTGGGATTAAGTTTGAGAAGGTTTTCGAAAACAGCATTCGATGTTGCAGTAATTACTGTATCATTTTGTGCAAGTTGGATGAGATGTTGACGAGGTACTGAGGATAACGGCGCATATCTAGCCATAGGAGCCAAAAAGGCATTATTAATCTCGTTGGCTAAATCTCTTTTATCAGAGCTAGAAGGGTCATCTCCTGGTCTCAGAGCTTTCACAATTTCATCTGAGGTTCCCCCGATTACATTCATTCCACTAAGCTTTTTAACCTCTTTCCACCATGCTGATGGTTTACATTGTTTTAAATGGTGAACGCTATTTTCGTAATATTTTGCCCGACATTTTTTTCTTTGGCGGTTGATTTGATTCCTCAGCTTTTTAAATTCTGTAGTTCTTTTCTGATTAAGGGCTTTTTGTCGTTTCCTTATAAGACCTTTCAAAGTTGTGTTCATCCATGGAGGTTCATTTAATCTAACAGTTTTATTACGTAGCGGAATAATTGAATCCAACCCATTATTAATTATTGTTTGGAATAAGGATGTTTTTTCTTTACAAGAGTGGCCTGTGTTAAGCAAGGTGGGAATGTCTACCATCTCTATATATTTCCTTACAGCAAGGCGGGAACTAGGTCTCAAGTCTCTCACCTTTACTGATGCTGTTGATGTTCCTTGAACTTTTGATCGTTTAATTGGTCTAATCTCAATGGTCACGTGATCGGATAACCCGAACGGGGCACATTTGGTAGGTTTGTCGTAGTAAGTGCTAAGGTTTGTTAGGACTATATCGAGCGTATTATTCCCACGTGTGGGGAAGTTTACGAGTTGTTTCAGATTATAACACGATCTTAGTCTCGACACGTTTAACTTATTAAAGTCGCCAAGGATAATAAGGCCACAGTTGGGAAAACGCGACTCTACACGCGACAAACAATTTGAAAGATAGTCCAACATGTCTGAATTGTTTGCGCTGGGAGGGTGGTATACTGTGCCAATTATCAGGTTAGTAATTCCTCTGGATAGTCTATTAGGTCGGATGCTGATCCACAGTATTTCAAATGAACTGTTATAGAGTTCATCAAGCACTGTAAAAGCTATGGAATCTTTAATATAAACACAAACACCACCATGGATGTCTTCGACTTTGTCTCTACGAATTAGGTTATATCCTTGTATATTGATAATATTATCGTGAATGTGACTCTGTAGCCAAGTCTCTACCAGACTGACAAATTCATAATTACCACAGCGTATTACTTCACGTACTTCGTCTATTTTTGGAGACAGTGACATCACATTTGATAGCTTAACGACATCACATTTGATAGCTTAACTCCAACTTAACTATTATTGCAAGCTTGTAGGGGAGTATAGACATATATTCTGTCTATAGGAATTGAAATTTTTTGAAAAATATATTTAATTAAAGAACTTTCGAAATATTTCTATTTGCCGTAATTTGGAGATAAAAAGTCGCTATCACGCATTTTCAGTTTTTTTCCTCATGCAACGATTAGTTAATATTAATATTTTGCTCCTTGAATTGACTCACGGATACTCTGTATAGGAGTATTTGTGAGTTTTTGCTATCTCTTTCAACTATTTCTTTTGTGTTTTTCCAGCCTGCTTTTCGCGTCTGGAACCGGTCAGACCTAGGCCTGTTTAGAATGCCTCGTGATTGGTTATTTTCACAACGCTTGCCAACATCGTAATTTACGATGAATTTCCATGTCTGGATTTGATATTGCGGTGACGATTGACTTTTTGCTGCGCGTTAATTATCTCTGGTTTTATGCGCCCATTAAGGACAAAAATTCCACTGTTTGATTCAGCGAAAACAATTGTACTTACGGATGCCAAATGTATTACAATATATGTTGCTATTCGCTATATTTTCGTAATCAGATTTTGGTATATCCAATCATGTATATCGTGCAAACTTTGCTTGGAAATCGCGGTTCTGATAACATTTAACGATAGTGAGACTAGAATTGAGACTTAACGTCAGATAAACTACCTGGAATAGACAGGGTGTCCCCCCCCCCCAAAAAAAAAGTACCCTCTATAGAAATCAGCCTTTTTGTTGTAAAACGTGCGTTGTTATACCTTTGGGAATTCAATTGAATTGTACGTGCATGAATGGCGGAATATTTATAACTTCCCGCTCGTGCAAATAATCTAACACGACGAAAGTAAAGCGAAACGATTTCACAAATATTAAATGGTTTCAGTTTTTATTTTATATGAAATTAAAAGTTATGTGCCATGCCCTTCAACGTGTTCCCCATTTCGTTCGACGCAAAGAATGGTTCGTTTGTGCATGTGGCGTACTGTGTTACGAATTATTTCAGGCTGCTTCCTTTAAATTCATCGATTATCCTCTGGCGTAGCACTTTGATGTTCTGAGGGTGGAGAATACTTTGCTCTGAACTGATATCCCCACATAAAAAATCACAACAAGGGGTTAAGTCCGTCGATCGAGCTAGGTGGCCATTCCACGTCACTGTGCAAAGCTATCACATGATTCTCCCCGAGCACTTTGTTAAGGCGATCTCTCACTTCAATAGGGCGATGTGCTGGAGCGCTGTCCTGTGCCCACCAAAGGCCCTTAGCGAACTGATGGTATTGAATTTTTTAATTTTACATTTGTGTGTTGGTGTTTGTTTTAAAAGCTAAAATAAATTCCCAAAGGTGTAACAACGCACGTCTTACAACAAAAGACCTGATTTCATTAAAGCTAAGGGTGCTACTTTTCTGCGGGACACCCTGCATGTATAGAGAAACGTTGACATGTTCTCTCTCTTTTTCCAACTTACTGAAATCAAATTATTCCCTCTACTAATATTACACGATATGATCCGTGAGTCGTCTCATTGAGACCTTTGATTTTTCATCTCCGAGCCAGAGGCGCGGAGCGCCGATCTGGGGTAAGCCCGGGGCGAGGGTACTAACCCCGCCCGGCTATTTACACCCGGGGAAAGGAACGCACTAGCGAAGTCTAAAGTTCATCAAATATCGTGGGCGCATGGCTATGATCCAATAGCCTGGTGGACCTCCCCACTGATCTCAAATATACGGCGGACTGTCATGGAAATGGCGAATGCTGATTGGTCAAATTTAAATTTCGCTTGATGATGACTGCATCACGACAGCATAATAACAGACACTATTTGTATTATTTATTTTGCAAAGTTTTTTTAGTTTTTTATACGGTCACAGAATAAAGACATACAGAAGTGTATCTTCTTATTAAAAGTGCGTAAGGGATTTTTTCAGTCCGCCATGTTCTTAGCAAGTGCCCTAAAGAGAGGCAGTCACCCCCCTGAAAATATATTGAAAATTTAATATTCCAGGGGGGTGAATGCCTCTCTTTAGGGCACTTGCTAAGAACATGGCCGCCAGCTATTTCGGTAAAAAGCGCCTTACGGTTTTGTAATGGAAGTTACACTTCTGTATGTCCTTATTCTGTGATACGGTTTCTTTTGAGAAAATTAAAGAAATTAAACAGATAAAATATTAAAGAAAGAACCAGGCGGAAACCAGCAAGAAGACGTGCATGGGAAAAGCCGAAAATGAAGACATGCTAAAAGAGCTACAATCCTGGACAAAACATCTGCGACACTTCCAATTACTTGACAAAATGTCGTAATATTATCGTAAATTTAGAAAACCTCCCCCTTTCCCCCACCATTCAATGTTGACTGCATTCGTAGAATACGGATAAAACGTCCAACATTGTTTTGTGGGGTGGAGGGGGGCAAACGAGTAAATTATTCCGGTCTAACTGGTAAAAAAATCCACAAAGGAATGTTTTAATAGAGTGTCGCAGATGGTTTTGTCCAGGATTGTAGCAAGGAAAAGAAGCGCGCGCTTCGTCGAGGGTAACGCCTGTTCACAGGCCAGGACATGACTTGTTGGCTTTTAGCGGATTTCTCACATGGTTAAACATGAATTTAAGATCATGCACATTGTAATATAACTTTATAAGTGCCTCCATAACCCTGGGAATGCCGTTTCAGCGTGTCAAAATTTTAAAAAAAATTAGGATAGCATACCTCCGGACCTTCCAGGTTTGGAGTCCGTCCCCCCCCCCACACACTTTTTGGGATAGATTGACGCCCTTGGTTTTGGCGAAGCTTTCGTCCAAGGCCTGTCTAGGTGCTATACTAATTACACTGTCATGCACTGGTGACGACCACGCAGGCTTAATTACGGATCGAAAGCTACTGTAGTAATACAAAATAAACAACTGTTGATAAGTTATCTATACTGGAAAGTTGCGAGGGTTACACCAATTTATAAATCTGGGGGAAAATTTTGCATGTCCAATTATAGACCTATATCCGTTATTTCAATTGTTGCAAGAATCGTGGAAAAGCTAATACACAACCAGATCTATGAATATTTGATTAAGGAAAATCTACTAGCAAATTCCCAACACGGCTTTAGGCCGAACCATTCAACTCTAACTGCGTTGCTCGATATCACAAATAGATGGTATCAGAATATGGACATTGGCCAACTTAATGGTGTGATATTTCTTGATTTAAAAAAAGCATTCGATACTGTTAATCACGACATCCTTCTTAGTAAGTTGGCAATTTATGACATAAGGGGGTCGGCATTACGCTGGCTCAACTCCTATTTAACAGGTCGAATACAATATTGCCAAGTGAATGCCCATTTATCTGATCCTCTATGTGTGACAACGGGTATACCACAAGGTTTGGCTCTTGGTCCACTCTTGTTCCTAATTTACATAAATGACCTACCTAATTGTCTGGAACACACTAAAGTCAATATGTTTGCCGACGATACCCAAATTGAAACGGCAGGTTATGATGTTTATAATACAATTGCTGAGGAACTTAATCAAGATCTAGAAAAGGGGGCCTATTATAGTTTCGCGGTTATGCGGTTTTAGCCATATTTTGAGGTCGGATTTCGGTTATATCCAGTTATTTTGTACGGTTTGCGGTTAACTGGAAATCGTTCGGAGACGGAAAATGTCGAAATTAACACTCCGGATTCGGTTACTGACCAAAATAAATAGCGGTTTTCGGATAGTTTTTAACATGCGGTTAGGAAATATTTTACAAGCTCATGGCAATAATTCAGTTCATGGCATTCATCTTCCGATCGCGCATTTGTGGTTTTCCACAGGGCCTTGAAACGGATGAAATCAAATGGGCAAAGTGGCCGGGCTATTAGTAAAATCAGGAACACCGGAGCAGCAGCATTCCGGAGTACGGAACACCAGAACACCAAAAATTCTTAATTTGTTAAAAATTCGAGGAAAAAAATTACCGGGGGTTGCGAAATTCAGTTGAAGGAAAAATTATTCCGTAAAGGTAAAACATGCCTTTTAATATCCTGACTTGCCGATTGCTACTATTAATTACGAACTGAAATCAGTCTCAAAGTAATAAATATTTGCCCGAAAAGATGAAATCAAACCTAAGCAACTTGATTGCCTGTTCCTCACACAAAACATAAGCAGCGATGGAAGGAAAGACTTTTTATAGCTATTTCAACTGCTAAGACTTCGTTATACTACCCGATTCGCGTGAACCTTGTGAACGGCTCGATCCCTCTTCAATACTCCAATAGAAATGGCGACTACGTACGGACTATTGGTCTATTACTTCACATTATGTTGCGAAATATGTTACCACATATGCCTCGGTTTGAACGCGGTTACGTTTAAAAAAGAAATGAGCGCGCGGTTTGCGGTTAAAATTTGAAAAACAGCGCGGTTTTCGGAGATGCGTACCCCCTATAATAGACCCCCAGAAAACGTTTCAGTTTGGTTGTCGGCAAATAAACTAACTTTAAACAAAACGAAGACAGAATACATGATAATAGGTAGTAATAGAAGAGTCAATCATATTAACATAACGCCTAATATATTCATAAAAGACAGAGAAATTAATAGAGTCAAAACGACCAAATCACTCGGGTTAATGATTGACGAAACACTCTCATGGAATGCTCAAGTTGATCAAATTACAAAAAAGGTTAATTCAGGTCTCAGTATCCTTAAAAGATTGAGAGACATTCTAGATTACCAAACACTGATCAAAATTTATTTATCAATAATTCAACCACATTTCGACTATTGCTCACAGATTTGGGGTTGTCTGGGTAAAGTACTATCTGATAAACTCCAGAAGCTTCAAAATAGAGCATTTCGAATAATAACTCGTGAAAACTATGATACACGTACAATCGATGTTTTGAACAAGGTCGGTTTTCCAAATCTCGTGACTAGAAGAAAACATCATTTAGCCGTCCTAATGTTCAAAGCCAAACATAACATGTTACCAAATTGCTAAACGGAACTTTTCATCACCTCAAATGAAATACATAATTACAATACAAGACAGAGCGAATTCAATTTTGCATTACCTAAACCTAAAACTAATTTTATGAAAAAGTCTTTCGCCTATCGAGGAGCTGAGGCTTGGAATAATCTGTCTGCTGACATAAAAGCTAAAAAAGTATCTCTACATTTAAAAATAATCTAACTGTAAGTGTGTAATTTGTGTGTAATTTAGTTATTATTATTAGATACTGTAGTATATGTGTAATTAGTATAGCTATATACGGCCTATTGGAAGATCACCCGTCTTAATTTTTGTAAATATCTTGGTGAAATAGTACCGTTTTTAATAAAGTCAATAAAGTCAATAAAGTCAATAAAAGTGCCTGGGAATTTAAAATAGCTGTTGCTATTTCTGAGAGTTGGCTTTCTGACAGTTGATTGTGAGAAGAGACTGCAATCTGAATATTCTTTATCATATCATCAAATATAAACAAAGTGACAATACAGCTGTGTATATAGTAAATTTTTTGCTATATAGTGACGATAGTTAAATATAAAACTTTTGTTTGTGCTAGCTTTTACCGAGCTTGCCGTTAGCGTATAATGCTCGTGCGGAAAGTTAAACGCTGTTCGGGTCGGGTTGTGTTTTGTCTGACTTAGCATATTTTCTTCATAAATAATTTTTTCCACCTTTTCTAACTTTCAAAAGGTTACGGTTAGCTGTTATGACCTTGGACTTGTTAAGATATTTATGTTGCTAAATTTATTTAGATATTTATGTCGTTAAATTTGATTGGCTAATGTAAGACGAAGGGAATGGAATGTTGTGCTTGCATGGGTGAGCAGCCGCTTGTGGGGAGAAACCTCGAAACAAAGAGTGGTTGCGAGGGAGACTACTATAAATAGTCAGCTGTTTAGCCAGCAGTTTACTAAATAGTCGGCTGCCGGCTCTATAGTGACTTCGAAAATATATAAATGTTTACTCAATAATTGTGCATGAAATTTTTTTCATAGCAACGATGCAATTCCTTTGCGCAGATACATGTACGCCTAGCGTACCCATTTTTCATAATGGGAAAGTGCTTAAGGCGGTTTTCCAGTCCTCGCACGAAGCTCTTCGCAGCTCGCTGCGAGTGCTTGCATCTAATTAAAATTAGCTGTTTAGCATTGTGATTGGATGAAAGTGCTCATGCATCACTCGCAGCGAGCTGCAAGGAGCTTCGTGCGAGGACTGGAAATCCGCCTTTAGGCACAGAACGAGGCGTTTTATTGCATTTTCAATCTATGCAAACTAAATACTAATCTGATATCGATTTATACCAATCAATGGATTATTTAGGAAGCTTGTAACAATCGCTATATATCCTGTGGATAGTGCTTTTGGGACTTTGTACAACCTGGCCTGGAAATACTGACTCATTTGTTCTTTATTTTTATAAGTTGTGATCTTTGTTTTTACTTGTAAGTAAAAGGCATTGTGCAGTTTCGTAGAGTATACTCATCATGAATCGAACTTTCCATACGAAATTTGAAAACACTCAACAGAACTTGAGAGAAATATGATATAGCCACAACCATGATTATTCCATTGGCCAGTACATGTCGTAACCAGTATCGAAACCATATAGTCTTTATGCCAATGTTATACAGCCAAACTTGAATAAAGGTCGACAGCCAAGCAAATACGAACTCAATTGCCAAACCGATGACAACACGAGGGTAGATTCTTTTGATTTCGTCGCTTAAAGCAACATCAAAAGTACTAAAGCGGTAAAGCATCATATAAACCTGACTCAAAATGAGAGTTCCAAATTGAGACAACATGTCTTGAATCTCCAGATCTGCTTGTAATCTTCTGTTCTGAGGTGAACAATATGGCACTGGTCTAAAACCATGTGTCTCAAGTATTCGCAGTGCACGATCCCATAGCTTTTCCCGAAAATGGCGGGTTACCTGAAATGATAAGTTAGATTTATTTGCTGGCGCTCTGGCAAAACGGGCGAAAAGAGTGCACTATAAAAGATAAACTCGACGGTCGCGTGTGTATTAACTGTAAAGTAACAAGGGTGAATTTCGTTTTTGACCAATCAGAGCATTTGTTTACCTTTTGGCGCTAAGCCAATCAGAATACGTACATTTTTACTACTTCCGGTTTAGACGCATATTTCAACATGAAAATTTCGGTCGTAAATAAAGCCATGGGGGAGGCTGGTTTTTTAAATTTTTGGACTTATTTCAATGAAATCCTATAAAATATAAAATTTTCGAAAAGTTTACCGCTGGGATTTGCGTTTCATCGCTTAGTTTTGAAATTATCCGCATTCAAAAAACGGAGTGACCTTGCATACGCCGTTTTTTTTAATGCGGATAATTTCAAAACTAAGTGATGAAACGCAAATTTTTCGAAAATTTTATATTTTATAGCATTTCATTGAAATAAGTCCAAAAAATTAAAAAACCAGCTCCCCCCTCCCCCAAGGCTTTATTTACGACCGTAATTTTTGTGTGGAAATACGCGTCTATACCGGAAGTAGAAAAAATGTACGCGTTCTGATTGGCTTAGCGCCTAAAGGTAAACAAATGCTCTGATTGGTCAAAAACGAAATTCACCCTTGTTCTGTAAAGGTCGTTCAAGAATAATAACAATCTCTTTAACTACAAGATCTTCTATACAACATTTGAGATCTGTTAACCAGCATTTGAACTTTCGTTTAGCCTAGTAACTTATTTCATTGCATCAAAATCACCGTCATATAAACAGCCCCGAAGACGCCTGTTCAGGAGGTAGGAAAAATGCGATTTGAATATCAAATACCTTACACAAAGTCGAAGGCTGGCTAAATGTTCTAATTCTACGTTCTTGGAATGGGCGATTTTATATGAATACCTTGAATGCTTATAATTTCTTGCTTTCGTATATATAACTATAATACTGTCAGTGGCGAAGCTAGCCTGCCAATGAATACAGTACAATGTTTATATAAAAATACTAAGTCGATCAGCTTTTGTTCCAATTATCGTAATGCTACCTTCAAAATCCAATCGCAGAACAACCGAATAATCTGTTGATGGGGAGACAAAATCTATTTGTTGACATTTCTGTTTAATAGGCTTCAGATGACACCATTCATTGTAATGATTTAAAAAGGTTGTACTCAGTCAGAACTGCAAAATTATGTTATAAGAAAGAAATTGTGAGCATTATCGTGGTGACACAGTCAGATGAGTATATGAATGTAGGTCCGTAGGATTATTTCATATTATGCTAATGCTAACAATGGACATATCTCAGATATATATGCAGACAGTCATATCTTATACAGCAAAAGTCAGTTGACATGCTGTTACATGTAATTGCTGGTAAGTCAATATGTGCAGACAACAATCCACGTATATTCTAAGAATCTTATTACACTGACCTGAAAGGTCAAGTGTCTTAAATCCCTAATTATCTGTTTTCTGTTTTCTGTTTTCGTCGTCGAGAAATGGAGTTTGCGTTAGCGCATCGCAGGCTCAGTTTCCAATGTTCCAGTCGTTCCAGTTTACTATACAGATCAGTTTTCAAGATGGCGGCCATTCGATGAGTGACTATTTCAGTCTCAAACAATTTCTTCATTTGTGCACGGATTTTACCGCGTTTTTCTGTGGATTTTGGATTTATCCTACATGCACTGCACTTTCTTAGAAGTGACTTGGTGTTTTTTTCTCGTGCAACGTCTCTGGAAATGCGATATCTGGATCGCTGAGTTTTTCGAATTTTATACGTAGTAAGTTAGTAACGTTACAGACTCACGGAATGTAAACAATGTTGTCTGCGTTAACGCATAGCATGCTCAGAGACCATGTGCATTTATGGATAACGTTTGTATTTTGTAGTAATACTTGTGTTTCATTGAACATTACGAAAACATCTCCTCAGCATCACGCCACGCTTTCAGCCTTTCATGCGTTTGCGGTTCACGATATGTATTATTTATCTATATTGCACGAACTTGCACTATAGCACGTATGTCGCCATTTTCAGGTCAGTGTGAACGCCTGAGCAGGCGTCTTGTTAATTTAAGCTTGATTTAACATCATGCCGCGTTTCTTTTCAAACCATAAACACTGCGTGGGGAAAAAATGTGAAATCCATACTATGAAATTTACAATAAATTAAACCACTAAATCCACAGTTTCGATACTATATATCCATACTATGAAAATATACAATTATTATGGATCATCAAAATCCATTCTATTTCCAATAAAGTTCCATACAATTTCCATTCTATGACCTTATATGGATTTCCAAAATTTTTTCCAGTGAAACATGTAGACTCATCGTGTTTGTACATAACAAACAAATAAACTAAAAGTATATTTTGACTCCTTGCATGTATAAATAAGGCATTATTGACGAATAGATCAGTGGGTTATTATTAAAACTGCCGATAGATTCATGAAATCATATTGTTTCAATAACTCTACATCCAAGATAATACACTAAACAAGTATAAACAGCAGATTTAAATTTCAGAAATGCCTTCATGTATATCACAACACACGAGAAAGAAATAAAGACATCCTTACTTGAATTATTCAAAATATTGTCGATCATTCATGCCAGAAACATATAAAATGACAACGCGCTTTATACCCATGCAGTAACCTTCACAAATGTTACTCGGAACTTTCTATGGAAATTTGCATTATTTCTGTCCGTTTAGTAGTTGCCATGTTGTGAACCAAAAAATAATATCGTAATAGCTAGTTTTGGCCCGCCTTTGGAATGACAAAATGACACAAATCGAGATTGAAGCGGCTATAAATTCGGCGGTTACGTGTGTATGAGCGTGGAACGTGTATCGTAGGTCGTGTAAGCATACTACGTGGAGGGATTAGTGCGCTACCTCGCGAACGCTCGGCAGCAATTATTTATAACGAGAATAATTTTGTATATTATTTGTGTTACCTGTTCTGTACTTTGCTGCATGGCTTAATAACTGAGGGATCGCCTCGCGTGGTGGCTAGCTCAGCATGTTCCTCTCTTGTGCGGACAGTTTTCGTGAGGGATTAACCTCGCAAGACCTTGAGCAAAACAATCTATTGTGTTTGATATTTTCACTTCGCGAGGAAAAAACTCCACACTGCGGAGGTTGCGTGCTTAATGCTATAGCCAATGAGAACCCATAGTTTCTTCAGGTCACCTTTCTTCCAAACAGTCAATTACGGTTTATCTAAAGCAGTGAGATGCCGAATGGAAGTGTTTTTTTATAACTTCAGCTAATTAAAAGTTATTGATTATGCAAATGTGATATAATCTCGAACGGCCTGTGCCAATATGTAACTATATATTTTCGTGGAGTAGCCGGCAGAGTGTCGACTTAAAAAATGTGGGGTCACTGAAGCATCATTTTCTGCAGTTCATGGCCGTTCAGGCTTTCGGTTCAGACTATCGATCTAACAAGTACATGCATAAATTAGTTTCAGATGATTCATAACTAAACCTTATAGTCTTTACACTGGTATAAATTGTTTATAGAATGTTTAAAATTTCAATTCCCTAAGAATATTATGTTTATAGGAAGGAAAATCCCGATAAGTGAAAGCCTTAATTTCTGGTGAAATTATTATTCTTACTGAACCGTCGAGGGAAATAATTGCAAAATTTTCCCAAAAAGATTATTTCGGGTGTAATACTAGTGGAGAACACTAGTAGAGTAGCGTAGTTGTGAAATATTCTGTCATTTCTCTGGCCAATTACTTCATGTTTGGCACATATTAAATTATCAATGTGCCTGCTGGGGAAGGGGGGGGGGCAACATTCCTCAGTTTAATAACGCCATGATTCTTTTAAACTTGACTATAGTCGAGGTATTTTATCATGCATAAGTCTCTCGCTCTGGTTCGGAAAATCGAATAATTGGTTCCCTATGATCCATTCTTCCCTCGAGCATCCAACAAGATAAAATAACAATTAGCATGCACCATCAAATGTTAAACATTGTTAAAATATTTACGTTATTAATACGAAACAAAAATTATGTTGACTCCAAATAACCAGTACTTTTAGCGCTTTCTTGCTGACCATATTGTGATTGTCAATATTCCATGCATTATATGTCGTTGTGAACACCTCAATGCAACAGAAAATACACATGCGTAATCTTACCTGTGCAATGATGTTAAACGTTCCGTGTAATAAAGAAAAAGCCACGAATAATCTTAAGTCTGTAAGTTCAGCTTGCATGATACGGTACAGAGCGACAGGAATCAAATAGTTGAAGTAAATTAAAACAAATGAAACATCAGCTTGAACAAGATCGGTACAGTGACACAACACGACGTACTTGCCAGCAGCTACTGGAATCAGAGAGAACAGAGGGATAATGGCTGCAATCATTGCCTTGTTAACATCACTTGTTTGTTCATTAAACCAAGGAACAATGAAATTGCGATAAGCTAGACTCATGAGCAAGGAAAACACAAATATCTGTCCAAGTTTTAACACAATCCTTTTTCTTGATTGTTTTGTTGAACGCGCAATTTGAATGCAACCGAGGATCACTCCAAGAAAGAATATGACATTTCCTGGATACCTATTGTAGGAATCTCTGAAATCAGAGCCGAGATATATAAATAAATACGCCTTGTATATTACAACTAATAGTCCCATTATTGAACCAATGTACAATAAAGACCTGAACTTGTCAAGAAACACTTTGCGACCGAATAATAAAGCAATTGTGGCAGGAAACCAAAAATTGAGTAACAATGCTTGACACGATTCACCGATTAATTTCCACTTTAAAATTTTTTCTGGAATAGAGTTATTTAGATATGGTTCAATACCGATGCATTTATCTGTTGTTTCCAAATCCAAGTAAGCAAAGAAGCCACCAATACCGCTTATAACTATCGCTGATAACATTATTCTAACGTTGGTGGGAATACTTAGTTTGATGGACAACAATAAGTGTCCTCGCTCAGATTTGGGAGGCACAAAGCAACCAAAGTGAAAATCCACGGCATCATTTGGCAAGCTGTTGTTGTAAACAGTGGACGTGCTGGCTGCAGAAATTAGCCCTGTCGCTTCGTTTTCGTTTTCTGGCCGGCCAGCGTCAAGGAATTCTTTATAGTCGAAGTTGTGTTCTGGGTTAACAAGATCTGAGGGTGGATTGCTAGGATTCGGAACATTGATGTTGCCATTGCAGTCGCCTTCTTGTGCTGACGGGCAACGAATTTCTGAAATCAACCTTGATATGCACAAACATAGAAAATCTATCAACTGTTCTAAGAACATTCTTCATACAATATTATTATCGCTTAGAAGGTATAATATATGTTCCAAAGATGGTGTACGTCGATTCAACACCTTATAGTTTGTGCTTATAAAAAATTATTAGAACACAACTGCAATTCGCGTGATTAATAGCAAAGCTAGCTGCAAACTGACAATGTAACAGCGGCCCGATTGACCCTGACTGTTATGCAGTCATGCAGTCATTCCCGCCAGAATATTAAAATAGGTTCCATTGAATATTGAAAACTCTTCATTCTACTACCTGATGATGTTGGGCAATTTCCATCGCCGTCGGGCCAATTTTTGTTTGTTCTACTTCCACCCGTTCGCCTGCGTACGCGACACATGCTCACACAGAATCACATGCGTTAATCATGATTATCAATTACAATACACCCCCGCTCCTTCCCAAACGAACCATTCTGGAACGCCGGAAGCAACGTGAAGCTCGAGGACAGCTATTTAGAAAGGGCACTTACTCCTGAGCCATAATTTTTTGTGGGCATCAATGTTTGTTTAAATAATTTGCTATGCAGATGCTCGATTATGTGTAGCCAGTAAAGTACTGGACAAATTTCTGCATTTATTGGAATATTTTATTTCTTGCATGGCGCTATATAAAGACTAAACTGTATTGTCTATAAAACGTTAACAACGTCAGAGCTTCTTAATAATTTTGGAGGGAACTTTCTTTTTGACGTTTTTTTATAGGCGTAAATCTTGGTAACGTTTCTGAGAGAAAATGAGCTATTTATAAATTGCTTGAAAACAGTTCTCAATTTTGATTCATATGAAGTTGAACAACGCACGACTTTCGTTGTGTAATTATTATTATTATTATTATTATTATTACATGTTTTTCACAGCTTTGTTCTTATGCTGGCAATGTTTTTCCTTGGAAGCTGGCTACAACCAGTAGCCTCAGGTCCCAAAGATTTTAGCTTTCCATGCAAGCTTCTTCTCAGTGTTCTTGCTGTCCCTATCAACGCTGTTTTTGTAGAAGTTCTACTCTTATATGTATTCCCAATTTCTCAATCCACTTACCCAGTTTATTACTAACTGCTCTTAAGGCACCCACTACTATTGGAATCACTTCTACTTTTTCATTGCCCATATTTTCCGAATTTCCATTTTCAACTCCTCATACTTTTCTACCTTCTCTGTTTCTTTTATACCAATTCTATACAGTCCTCTGGAACTGCGATTTCTATGATCTTGCACTCCTTTTCCTTCTTTAAAACCACTACAATATCAGGTCTTCGACATTCAATCACATGATCGCACTGTATGCTAAAATCCCAGAGAATCTTTACATTGTTAAAGTAATAAATTGTTTGCAGCAATAAATTTACGTGGTGTTTCCACAAACAAAACTATTATAATTTTTACATTATCTGATTCAATTACTCGATTTGGTTAGTGTTCATACCATTTCTCAGCTTTCTCTAGTTGGTAGAAACCACATAGCTTCCAGTGTACAATGCGTGCCACATTGTCATGTCTTCTTTTGTATTCTTCTTGTGCTAGCTTCTTGCATTCACTTATATCAAGTGTGTTATATGCTCTCCCTTTTCCACACAAAGTCTACAGAGTGGAGACTCAACAGTTCTATCTACGTGAAAATTTACATAATTTGTCCTTAGAGCTTGTTCTTGTGCAGCGCACAGAAGTGCTTCAGTCTCAGGTTTCAAGTCTCCTTTCTTCAATCACCACCATGTCTTCTCCCCATCCACTTCTTTACCTAAATCTGGAAGCCATTAACTGCAGTGTTTACTTTTACAAGTCTATTTTTACCGTTTGACACTTGTTTATTTGTTCAAATTGTTTTTGGCCTAATGCTGATTGGCTAATGCGCCGTTTGTTAATTTTTTCAATTTTTGTTCTGCAATGTGATTGGTTAGTGTTCTCTAAGTGGCCCCACTTACTGTAGACGCATTGTAATCTCCTCCCGTATTACTTTACAAATTTTCTCTTCATTTCACCCTCCATAATTTTATCGAATTCCAGTATATACCAAGATATTTATATCCATCTTCTTCTACGGACTTTATTGTTTCCTCATCAGGTAGCTGTATTCCATTACATTCCACAATCTTTCCGGCTTTTTCATTACAAGCATTGCACATTTCTTTATCCCAAATTCCATTCCAATGTCTTTGCTAACAATATGGACAGTTTTCACCAGAGAGTCTATTTGCTCCTTGTTCTTTCCAAACAACTTCAGATCATCCATGAATAGAATATGGTTGATTTTGAGTTCTTTTCCGCGAGCTTCATACCATACCTTTTCCTTTCTCAGTATCAAGCTTAACGCTATCATGCACATCACAAATATCAAAGGAGATAAACTATCCCCTTGAAAAATACCTCGTCTTATATTCACATTTCCTAGGCTTTCTCCCGAAGATGTTAACTCCGTTTTCCAGTTCTCCATACTACTCTCCATAAACGTTCTCACATTTGCTGCGATTTTGAATGTACTCATACATTCCACTATCCAGGAATGAGGTACCATTTCATACATATGCCTTGCGATAGTCTATCCAGACCATCGATAAATTTGTATGTCTTTTTTTACAATCTCTTAAAACTAACTTATCAATTAACAGTTGATCTTTTGTTCCTCTAGTCTTCCTTCTACATCCTTTTTGTTCATTCGGTAGTACATCACTCATCTCCAGAAAAGTGTACATACTTTCGGCAATCACACGTGTCATCAATTTCAACATCAATGGTAAGCAAGATATGGGTCGAAAGTTATAAACTGTATTACCCCTTGATGAGTCTTTTAAGCACAACACTGTCCTACCATATGTGATCCATTGAGGTAGTTCAGCCTTACCATTTAAAATCTCATCTAACTGTTCTGCAATCCTTTGATAACAAGAAGTAATTTTCTTTATCCAATAACCCTGTACTCCATCTAGTCCTGGGGCTTTCCAATCGGGGATCTTCTTACACTACTTTGTAATATCTTCCTTATTTATCTTCAAATCGTTTTGGTTCAAATATCCGATTCCCTGTTTCACTTCATGTAGTCATTCAGAATCCTTATTATGTTCAATTCCATTGTCCCATATTTCGCTCCAGAACTTTATACTTTCATCCGCATCTGGTATCACTTTAGCAACTTTACTTTCCTGAACATTGTTTATTTTCACATAAAACCTTTTTTGGTCACTTTGAAACATTCTATTCTGTCTATATTGTTTCACCCTCTGTTCATACCTCTTTACCTTCGCTATTTTCGCTAGTACCCTCTGCTTAAGTTCCTCAGTCACTGTTGGTAACCCCTTTGTTCTTATTTTCTATTTTTCCTCGAGCCTGTTATTTTTACCTTCCTTTCTGATTTTTCCCTTTTTCTTCCTTTCTAGTATGTTAATAGATAGCTTAAGATCTACGACGTCAGCTAGGACGTCAGGGATGAGCAGACGACTGGAACTAGGACGTCTTAAATAAATAAACTTCCACTTAAGATTCACGACGTCGACATTTAAACTATAAATATTTACATCCTTTTGAAAATGAATTTAAAAGAGACGTGTGAATCCGTTACCGTTTGTTATGCTCTTATATTTACGACGGTAAAACTGTTGTTGTGAGATTGTCGACGTTTGGTGGACGACGAGTAAATTGAAAGAGACACATGCACACATAAAAATTTACTTCCGCTTGCCGCCCTAAATATTTGACGTCGTGGATACTTGAGCTATCGACTTATATACGACGACGTCCCAGTCCTCTGCTTAGCCCTGACGTCCTAGCTGACGTTGACATCGTAGATCTTAAGCTGTCTAATAAACCTAAGCCGTTGTATGTACTATTTAAAGCACGCGTAGGAGTGTTTTATCAGATATAAAACGCGAGGCGCAGCCGAGCGTTTTATATCTGATAAAATACGACTACAAGTGCTAAAGAAATGGCTTAAAAAAACGATCCATCTTCTGATGAGTACATTAGCGAAGTAATTTTTAAAATAAACTTGCCTAAACCGAGAAAATCAAAGCTAAAGTTTATGTAAATTAACATGATTTTTATCACATACAAAGATACGGCACGCTTGTGATTTTTCTTTGTGTTTTGCTCCTGAATTATTAATGAGTTTTTTAAATCCATATCCATTATTATTATTATTATTATTATTATCGTAGTCGTTACCGTTGTCGTTGTCATTGTCATTATTATTATTATTATTATTATTATAAAAAAATTCATGCATGCAAGGAGTTGAACAAGAACAAAACATTCCTGCAACCATTTGGGGAAAGAAAAAAAATTCGTGCAACTTCATGAGAAACCCAAGTGAAATCTGTTGAGCGCGGGCAGTTTAATAGCTAATATGGCTCATTTTGAGATATATAGAACTTTACAATACTTGTGATACATGTGCATGCTGTAAATTAGAACACTTAATATAAACACCAATAACATTATAGATTGAAAATTAGTTTACAGCTAATTCAAAAAAGGTTGTCCTTTGCAAACCTTAAACTCTAAACCCTAAACTCTAAGTGTGCAAAACATAATGGGAGCATCATTTAATCAGTTTAGAAATCAGTTTAGGGCTCATTTCTTGGAGACAAGGTAAATATCTCCTTTAATATTAGAACAATTCATTCACAAAAGCTGCAATATTCGACTATTAAGCTTGAAACTTGTGCTCCAATTAAGCTTTGCGCGCTTAGAGTTTAAGGTTTAGAATTTAATTAAGGTTTACAATTCAAAGGACAACCTTTTTTGAATTAGCTGTATGCATATTATAACACTATGAATTACCTCCAAAATGTACTCTACAGCCTCCTCGTCCATTTTTTAAAAAGACTGTATATAAAAAGGTCGTGATAAAAGTACGTAAATATGAAAGACAAAAAAAATGGCGCCGAAACTGAAGCGCCTGTGGAACTTTGGTCAGTGGTTGATACAATGAGCCCGCAGTATGTTTTTTATTGGATTGCTGTTCGATATAAAAAGTTGCCAATACAAAAAGTTGTATGTAAAATATAAAAAGTTGAACGGAAAAAGTTGTATACAAAATACAAAAATTTGTATATAAAATAGAAGAAGTTGAATGAAAAAAAAGTTGTGTATAAAATGGAAAAAGTTGTATACAAATTACAAAAACTTGGATGTCAAATTTAAAAAGGTGTATCACAAATGAAAAGTTCGAATTTTGGCGGGGATAGGACACCATAATAACAGGGATGCACCAGAAGTTTTTTTTGAAATATGAGATTGAATAAAAAATGATACATTCACTGTTCTGGAATTTACCAATTTCCACACAAAAACGAATGTTCAAGTATTTCTTGTATTTATGGTTGATACCTTCTATGAAACTGGACATCGGAAAAGAATGGGCCTACCGTACTGTGTGATTCTTTTATATTTTATACGGTCTGTTTTCTGTGTTGCAATTGGATGACATGTGTGATGTGTCATAAATAAAAGTTTCGGCACACCCCTATCTATAAAACAAGTTATCTACAAAGAAATTTGAAAATCCATTTATATAAACTTTAAAATCTTAAGAGTGAATGTCAGTAAAAATCGAACATATGAGATACAACGCGGCCACGACTGAAAAATCGATTTTGCTCAAATTTTGCCCAGATATACCTTAATATATCGGAAAATGCACCATATATTTTTTTAGGTCAAATGCTTTTTTAACTTTGAGAAAATGCCGTTTTAACACGACCACCCTAAATCGCCATTTTGTCTGGGAAAATATGCGCTGATTTTACCGACAAATTTCACAACGACAACCGTTTCTAATCGATCTAAAACCCAAAAATCTTGTTTTCGGTTATTCAAAGGACCGGGTACCTGACTTACAAGAAATCTGAGTTACTTTTAGGAATAGAAATAATCGTAGTTTTGGAGCACACTATCTTACTTCATTTACGATACCCTCTTAACAAAACCGATTTTCACTATGGGATAAAGCTCCAAATCGATCATGCTCCCACTAGTTGGCTCTTTGATAAACAAGCTTTCAATTGACGTAAATACTTCTTTGGGCAAATGAATACGCGATAAACGACAGCGCGTTGAAATCGTCCGTTTTTGACGTATTGCAAGTCAAACGCTGTTAATTTACATACCGTCGAAGTAAACAATAATATATATTTAATCAAATATTCTAAGTATTTTACCTTTTGAGAAGAAGATATATTCTTGAATGGAGACTTTTTACCTTACTAAGTTTAAAATTGGTCCAAATATCCTGATATATTTGTAAAATATCATCATATACAGGTATTTTGAGATATAATATTGTTGTCAGTTGCATGATAACTTCAGATCACTGTTCAATATTGTCTACTTTTAATAGCGCTAACATACAAATCGATGAGCTGTTTAGGGATTATATTTGCTACTAAATTTCCCAAAATTACAGCTTCGATTGTTGTTTTGTTCCAGTTTGATCCATATAATGTACCAATAGTGATGGGCGATACCGAATACTCGGTATTCGATACCAGCGATACCACAAACAGCGGTATCGGTATCGTACGGAAGCCCGGAAGGGCCATACGAATATTGCTTTCAACTTTTTGAATCGCGCTTAATAATTTGTTTGAATCGCGATTAACTTTCGAACGTTGCTAACTTATAGGATCGTGTTGAGTTTTTGCACGACTTTTTTCTCGACTTTTTTCTCGACTTTTTTCTCGACTTTTTTCTCGACTTTTTTCTCGACTTTTTGCACGACTTTTTACACGACTTTTTTCTCGACTTTTTTCTCGACTTTTTTCTCGACTTTTTGCACGACTTTTTTCTCGACTTTTTTCTCGACTTTTTGCACGACTTTTTTCTCGACTTTTTGCACGACTTTTTTCTCGACTTTTTGCACGACTTTTTTCTCGACTTTTTGCACGACTTTTTTCTCGACTTTTTTCTCGACTTTTTTCTCGACTTTTTGCACGACTTTTGCAGTACAAATTTAATGGAAAATATGGCGGACAATACATCTAAAATGGACTGTTCGTCAAATTCAACGAATTCAACCGCAAAGGTAAGATGGGGGCCTATTATAGTTTCACGGTTATGCGGTTTTAGCCATATTTTGAGGTCGGATTTCGGTTATATCCAGTTATTTTGTACGGTTTGCGGTTAACTGGAAATTGTGCGGAGACGGAAAATGTCGAAATTAGCCCTCCGGATTCGGTTATTGACCAAAATAAATCGCGGTTTTCGGATAGTTTTGACACGCGGTTAGGAAATATTTTACAAGCTCATGGCAATAATTCAGTTCATGGCATTCATCTTCCGATCGCGCGCGTGTGCCGTTCCACTGTAGGGCCTCGAAACAGACGAAATCAAATGGGCAAAGTGGCCGGGCTATTAGTAAAATCAGGAACACGGAACACCGGAACAGCATCATTCCGGAATACGGAACACCAAAAAAATCCGAGGAAAAAAATTACCGGGGGTTGTGAAATTCAGTTGCAAGAAAAATTATTCCGTAAAAGTAAAACATGCCTTTAAAATAGTCTGACTTGCCTATTGCTACTAATTACGATCTGAAATCAGTCTCAAAGTAATAAATATTTCCCCAAAAAGATGAAATCATTATTATTACCTAAGCAACTTGATTGCATGTTTCTCGCACACAAAACATACGCAGTGATGGAAGGAAAACCTTTTATAGCTATTTGAACTGCTAAGACTTCGTACTTATACTACCAAATTCGCGTGAAACTTGTGAACGGCTCCGTCTTCAATACTCCAATAGAAATGGCGACTACGTACTGACTATTGGACCAGGTCTATTGCCTCACATTATGTTGCGGCAGTGGCGTGCTGGCAGGGGGGGGACTGGCAATTCTTGGGGGGCGCAAAAATGTAAAGGGGGTGCCGATTCCGCGCCGAATTTTGAAAGTGGGTGGGAAGAAACGCATTCGAAAAAATATATAGTTACTTCCGCCAAGAAAAGATGTGTTTATACGCTTATACTAAGCGTATAGGCGAGAAAGTGGTATATTAAATTACAGACTATTTTGTCTAACCGTATTTGCTAATTTGCTACCTCACGGCCCACACGAAATCGTTCATATATAGAAACATGACATGATCAGTGATCACACGCAATGTCTCATTACCGGAATATTGATCAGGTTTCGAAGCGATCACGGGAATTATGCCCTTTTTTGCTGGTATTATACCCTTATATTATGCCCTTTATTATGCTTCACGTGCACGAATCACGAGAGCGGCGCAAATTAGATAGTTGAAGTTATGATAATGTAAAGTTGTGTACGCAATTTAGTTGTTTGCGCAAGAAACATCATGAGTAATGTAAGTAATGAAATAATGATGAAACGGGCCCTTTTGGCAGCCAGGCAAGGGAACCTTAAAATGCATATGCGTGGGTTCTGTGTTATTGTATAAAAGAGCTGTAAGTTAACTTGTCAATGTATTCAGATCAGTAGAGAATAGAATTGGGATTAGATTAATTGCTGGAGGTAGTTAGCATATTGCCCAATTTAAGTACTACTACTAAACTCTAACCAAATTGCGAATTTCGACACGTTATAATGCCGTTTCCTAACCATTAGATTTCCGTCAAATCTTCCCCCAAAGTCCAGGAAATGGCATTTCAGAGACTCTAAATTCAAAACTTTTCCTGGCGGGCATGTCCCGGACACCCCTAGACAAACCTCACACCTGCTGCGCTCGGCTCGTGCCTTCGGCCCTCGTTTACCAAGCGTCACATAGGGCGCATATTGGTTGTCAGCCCACTGCCCCCCCCCCCAGAAAAATAGTACCCAGCACGCCACTGTGTTGCGGAATATACTATTTTTCGAAATATGTTACCACATATGCCTCGGTTTGAACGCGGTTACGTTTAAAAGAGAAATGAGTGCGCGGTTTGCGGTTAAAATTTGAAAAACAGCGCGGTTTTCGGAGATGCGTACCCCCTATAATAGGCCCCCTAAGATGCCAAAGTATGAATAGAACATAAATCACTTTTTGAATGGGATTATAGATAAAACTGTGGGAGATACAAGCCTATTAGTGTTATAAACAGTGTATAGTGCATTTAATAGCTGTGTATTCTCAAATCATATAATATTAAATTGTTTCAATAATATTACGGGTATAAATATTCATGAAATCAAATTTAAATTTCACAGGTATGCGAGTTTCTTATAACAAGAGGTGTTGTAGAAGAAATAGTGGAAAGATTTCGTTTTGAAAAGGTTTGTTTTAACAATTAAAATTGTTTTTTGACCTTTTTAACCTTTTAATTGAACCTGTTTATAAAGTATGTTTAATATAAAGGATAAACTTGTTTCTAACCTATCATATGACTATGGTAACCTTTATACTAAATCATAATTATGTCTTTCAAACAAAAAGCGAATTCATTTATTTATTACCATTTCCATTCAAATGTCAAAGCAAAATTGGGGTTTGTTTCAAGTTTAAAATAAGTTTTGAACATCAATTCTAATAGTTTTGAACATCTATATATTCTAAAAATATGTTAATTTATATGTTGCCCCTGGCGGGGCAGAAACTAATCAGTGTTTTTATACATAAATATTTCTTCGTCAAAGAAGGTGACACTTGTTAGAGTGGGGGGCTTGTTTGAGAGGAGGGTTAATCAGGGATTATGGCATGTATAGCCTCCCATTCAAAAATAATTTAACATTTTAAATTTTGAATGTAAAATATTCTGACATACTGTGATGTACGACATGTACTTGTTTTGTTGTTCTGTTACATGAGGGGGGGGGGGGGATATTCGACATTGTTAATGGCCTGGGTGTGGGCCATTGATATAAAATTTTTGATTCTAAAAAAACTCATTGATTGCTAGATTGCAGTAGAACAGCTGGTGCATAATTTCACTGCATAGTGATTTATGATTAAGATGTTTATATATATATATATATATATATATATATATATATATATATATATATATATATATATATATATATATATATATATATATATATATATATATTATATACTGTAGTATATAAAAATTGAGCTAAAGCTCACATGAAATTACAATCTTGTTTAGATGGATGCAGTTGCAATCACAAATGCTTCTGATGAGCTTTTAAAAGAAATGGGCCTCTCAAAGGCAGGAGATCGTCTAAGTTTAAAAGGTTTCTGTGCTATCAAGAAGATGAAAGCAGTTCACAAGAAGGAAATAAGAATAGAAAAAGAGCACTGCTAGAGGCATTCCTTTCCAGAAAGAAGGAAAAAAAATAAAGCCAAAAGTAAATCTAAAAACAGTACTTCTTCAATAAAAGAGCCACTAAAACCAAAATTCAAAAAGGTTTACCTTGAATGGAAACATTTCAAGGAACAGGAGCAAGCTTACACACTTGTGCCTCTGGTCAAAGGAGGAGGAAGTCGAGTGGTAGAAATGCCATTAACTAGTTGTAAGACGGACATATACCAAACTTGTAAGAATCTGTTTTTCCCTGAGGGGAATTCTATATTTGGAAATGAGGATGATATGCTGTTTAGTCTGACTAACTTTAAAGGTGAGAAGGTTGAAGAATCTATTAAAGTTGGAAGAGAATTTATACCATTTAACTTGTGTAACTACATGGAAGCACACAAAATTAGAACTGTTAGACTGTATTTACAATCCAGGAAGATTGATGGCAGTGATGATGACGATGATCTCTTATCCAGTGTATTTGATCATGACCTCAATCAAGAAGGCTCACTGATTGGCTCCCACATTGAGAGGCAGTCTCTTGTGTCCCGTAATCAAGAAAGCTCGCTGATTAACTCCACCCTGGATATGCAGTCTCTTGTGTCCCCAAATCAAGAAAGCTCACTGATTGGCTCCACCCTCCAGAGGCAATCTCTTGCATCAGAACAAGACAAGGAGTATCAAGAGTCGCTGAAAGCAGATGAAAGAAAAGCTGCCTCACGTGAAAGAGAGAACCAAGAATCAAAGCGCAAAAAGAGAATTCAGAATGCTAGAGCAGATAGAGTGGTTCCCGAGCCTGATGATGAGTTTGTGACTGTCAAGGTCAGGCATATCACAATGGGTTTGCAATCTAGAAAGTTTCCAAAAACCTCTCGCATGGCAGCTGTGTATGACTGGGCTGGTTCCCTCAGCCCAGATCCAGAGAACTTTACAATCTATCATTTGGGGGTGGTGCAAAAACCAAGTGAAGAATTATCTGACAAGTGTACCTATTTAATGGTTGAAGAAGAGCATGGAACCCCAGGACTGTTAGAATCGGATGATGAAGTGCAGTTTTTGGGATTTGGAACTGTTAGTAAAAACAATAACGAGCCCCTGCCTGAGTAAGTATTAATTTATCATAGTTATACCTGCATGTATTTTTAGTAATCTGGCTTAAAAACATAAAAAAGAACCGTGGTCATGTTCGCGCCGAATTCAATTCAAGTAAAGTATATTTCAGAAATTTTAATTAAGCAGGCAGTATATTTCAAGACATATCACATGTATATCTCCCGGCTTCACCATTCATATATACAGATTACAGAATGCAATGTATGGATTGTATTGAGATCAGTCAAGCTAGCAACATGATTTTCTCGACTTACACAACGTATTAAAATTATTTCGCCAATGGCATTCCTAAGTAACTCGATCATTTTTTAAGCAATTTAAAACAATTGCAGTTCGTTTTTAATCAGACCTTTGCCTCGTATCTTCGAAAGTCGTCAAAGCAATGATTTAGTAAAATAATGCTATAAATTTCAAGGTTGTTTTTGTACTGTGTATAGTTTCATGATAATGAAATTTATTTTCAATAGCTTACTCACTCTGTGCACAATAAAGTTAAAATTTATGTAAATCAAGTAGAATCTTTATCACATATTATAATTTATTTTTGAGCAATCTGATTGGCCAATGAAACAGGAAGTTAGAAACTTTTTAAGGAACTTATAAAATTGTTGAAGAATTAACCTGCGTTGCAGGCCCTCAGAGGATTCCTCCCCCGTGCCCGCCAGAATCCTGCCCGTTGCAAATCAGGCCCCATAATACTGAGGGCCTGCCACGCAGGCTATTGAGGAATATAATTGTACAGAGGTGCATGTTCCTTCAAGTTAGGAAATGAATTGGTCAACATTTTTCGGAACACTTCTATTGGCACAATCTCGTTCCCAGAGTATGCCTGTTCGCGGGTTATGTAGTGGCATGATTACATAACCCGCGAACAGGCATACTCTGGGAACAAGATTGCTATAGCACGACTGTAATGAGTTTTTAAAGTATATTTTCAGTTCATATCTCGTTTGATATTTAATTAAAACATTTTATATGAACAACAGTTCCACCGCGTTGTAGTCAGTGTAATAAATTTTATGAAAATTTGTAAGTTTGATTGTAATACTAAGGGTGAGCTACGTTTAGTAAGATTCTATCGTAATAGCTAGTGACTTTTAAAATTGGAAGCGAGTTTGTTAATAATAAAGTGTTGATGTAATAAAACCATGTTTAATTTGGCGACTCAGGAGATATCATTAATTTTGCCTTATTTTCACCGATCACAGCCTCGCAAACTTTAGCCCTATATTTTATAACTCCTTTGATTTTCTATTAAAATTGCTTAATTAAAGAGGTAGTGTTGAGCTTTGGTTTCAGCGTTTGTACTTGTTGCATGTTTCAAACATTAGATGAATCAGAGGAAGCAGTGGTAAGGGTAACAGGAAGGAATTAACAACATATTTCTATGGACATTTTTAGTTTGAATTACCCAGAGGATGAAGATGTACAGGAAGTGGACAGCTGCTTAGACCATTATTATGCCTCCATTCTGAACGATGGTGATTCAACTGCCCTTTGTTATGAAGAACAGGACAGCATCACATTTAATGGTGACAATAATGAGATTTTTCGCGACTACAAAACAACAGCAGAGGATGTTCGTGCACAACCTGGTGTCCCAAAGAAAGAACTACACGAACTTCTTGACGGTTTGGCAAAGGAAATCGACTACACATCCATATCTAAATTCAACATTTCTCGAAGTTTTGTATGGGAAGGAGCGAAAAGAGCATTAACGCGAAAGTCATTTTGTGCAAAAAACAAGATGTCTGTAAAATTTACAGATGACATCGGCAACAGCGAGGGAGCCGTTGACTTGGGTGGACCTATGAAGGAATTCTTCACACTAGTTTTGCAGTGGATGGTCACTTCCCAGTTATTTTGTGGCCCTGAACATCACAAATACATCTCTTTCCAATCCACTTGCCTCGAAGGTAACGATTATTTTTTTGCTGGTACCCTCATAGCAATGTCCTTAGTGCATGGTGGCGCTGGACCGCAGTGTTTTGCCCATAACATGTTTGAAGCTCTTCACCGCGTTCCTGACAAAGTTGCCATTACAATTGAAGATGTGTATGACAGGGAATTACAGTCATCACTTGAAAAGCTAAGTAATTCGGTTAGTAAAGAAGAGGCGGTCCAAGTTATGAATGGCAACACTTTGCAGGGCGTTCTTGATCTTGCTGGGATGCTTCAACCGATCCAGACAACAGACGACATAAGGAAGATTGCCGAAATGACAGCAAAGTGGTTTGTCCTTGGACGTGCCCGACCAGCATTGGAAAGTTTCCTAAATGGTTTGTCAACGCTTGGGGTCCTTGATGCACTCACACAGAATCCTGATGTTTTTCGTCCAGCGTTTTGCTACTATCCCGAAAAGCTTACAGCTGAAAGCACTGAAAACCTGTTCCAGGTGTTCCAAAGTCCAGTTGGATCAAACAAAGCAGTAACAGAAAGCTTGGTCCTATCACGATGGCATGATTATCTACAGGATATTGAAGAAGGTGAAGATTCCCTTACCTTCAATGACATTTTGTTCTTTTCAACAGCATGTAAAGTCCTTCCCGCTCGGAAGATTTATCCCACCATTCAATTTCTACATCATCCTGAAGCATGTGGTGAAAAGTCGAGGTTCCCCAAGGCAAACACATGCTCAAATATATTATATCTTCCTGTAGTGCACACTACATATGAAGCCTTTGTAGCTGACATGACATTTGGTATTCAAAATGGACGAGGCTTTGGTAATGCATGATTAAACTGTGATTCTCCATACTTGGTGACTTGCAATAAATTTCCTGTAACATACACTGAAGTCCGTAATGTATTTGCAGGGTTTATTTACATAATTGTTGCGTTGTATGAGTGCATGTATTCATATTTTAATGTTGTATAGCATCAGATCTATATTTTATTGTAATTAATGGACAACTTACATGTTAGACTAAATTTTAATGTAAGTAAAGATAAGGGAATAAAACGCAACAGTTAAAAAGGAAATAATGAAATTAGTAAAATTGCAAAATTTGGTTGCGAAATGTTGTAAAATGCAGAAAATATAGCCTTGCGAAGTTTGCATATTTTCAGTATATTTGTATTACGTGCGGAAATTGTTACCATTTTCGGCTCAAAAATGGTAACAATTTCCGCACGTAATACAAATATACTGAAAATATGCAAACTTCGCAAGGCTATAGTTTCTAAGTTTTACAACATTTCGCAACCAAATTTTGCAATTTTACTGATTTTAATAAGTTCTTTACGGGAATTTACTTTTTTGGCCTAAATCAAAAATTAGTCTAACATGCAAGTTGTCTATTGGTATATTTGACAGCCTTTGCTACTGTAGAATGGACTGGTAAACTTTAGTCAGAGTAGTATCGTTTATCTAAGCAAGTATTGATATTTATTTTAAACAACAAGATATGTATATGATTATGTATCAATGTTTGTTAACTATTAAAAAGTTATTAATGTAGTAACAATTTGTAAAGTATATACATGACTGGCCATGATTTACGTTTTACAGTGCCCAAAGTCTACCAGCGAGGTGTGTTCGGGGTAGGGATCTTCATTTAACAAGTATATAACATCAAGTTAACAAATTACTCGTCACTATTGTACCGTTTGAAATTAAACTGTTTTAAACATCATAATTATATATGCAGTAGCAAACTGTGACAATTCTTGACAAACAAAGAATAATGTATAGCTTACAAATGTACAGGTATACTGACCGCAATTTTTATAAGAACCAGTGGCATTAAGTTTGTCGAGGCTTTCAGACTCAAAACATTCCAAGTAAGTTATTTTTCTCAAATAATCAGCCTCAGTTTCTATTTTGTTCCAATTTTTTTTTGCAATTTAAATCTCAATGTTATTATTTTTATATTTAAAATTAAAATTGGTTCTTATAAAAAAGGTGTACCTTGAATCTATAATATTTGTCCAATCTCTTCTACAATGGTTGAATATAAAATAACAGCATCTTCTGAATTGGTAGGCATTTCTAGATGCTTCTCTAGCATTATAATTGACGCTAATTCAACAAACTCTTCTGAGCAACCATGTTCTGGTGTTTGGACACAACACCTCTGTTGGGCAATCTCTATATCTTCGTCAGAAACTGGCGTAATTAGATCCCTTGCATCATCTGTTCTTGAAGAGAGGAAATATATGACATCAGGTTGACCACTTGGAGATTCTGCATTTACCGACTTTCTAATTCTATGCAGGTTCCATTCCATAGCAAACCTGTGCAGCTCGTCACGTATCATGCTCGTGAAGCAAAACTTCAGACACTCAACTTGTATGTCATCCGTATCACAGAACAGGCCACTATCCCTAAGGTCTTTAAAGAAGTTTATCCACCAATCCACACAACCTCTCCTAAGCATACCCCAAAAAGCCTCAATACGTTGATTGTAACAGGACTTTCCATAAAGAAAACTTTGCTCATCGTTATTGAAGAAACGTTGCAGGGCTGCTACATGAACATTTTCTGTCCCACAGTCCCCTCTAATTATTCTGGCAGTTCCTCCGATCTGTTGAACACATTCAATATAATACTGAGCTATTACGCTGGGGTTGTTGTTGGAAGGACCCACATCAAGCCACATTACACGCCTGCTGTATCCATCAATCGAACCATGGATGCAGAAACCGAAGGGTTTCAGCTTATCATAGCCGTCTATATGCCACACATGATTTGGACCCTCCGTTTTATATTGTCTCCTTTGTAATCGATCTCTTGACCTGGCATCAACTCCTTCAGGGTCCAAAATCTTCAAAAGTTCCCTCACAGTTTCTTTGTCAACAACCACACCATGACCGTGTAGCAATCGTCTAGTCATTTGTCGATAACCCATCATGCTTCCGCTACCACGCAATTCTCTTCTGATTGCTCGGTAAACTTCTTCAATGTTGGAACGATTTCTTCGTTTTCCAAGACCACGTTGTTGTAGGATTCGCTTCAGCTGACGAATGCTCAAAACGTACCCGTGCAATAAACCCAAAAACAGTACAATTTCGCTGTAACCAAGGCCCATGTGAAAGTATCGTTCGATTAAATCAACACGCTCAAAATTATTATTTTCCAGAATAGGCAAATAAGGAGGTAAAACAGCTTCGCATCTCAGATATAATGGCAAAAATAAGAACAGAACAAGATACATTTTTATAGTCGACTGTATATATTGCTTGGATATTCGGTTTTTAAAATACTTGAGCAACAGTCTAGCAAAAATATGGTGGAAAAGTCGTGCAAAAAGTCGAGAAAAAAGTCGAGAAAAAAGTCGTGCAAAAAGTCGTGCAAAAAGTCGTGCAAAAAGTCGTGCAAAAAGTCGAGAAAAAAGTCGTGCAAAAAGTCGAGAAAAAAGTCGTGCAAAAAGTCGTGCAAAAAGTCGAGCAAAAAGTCGTGCAAAAAGTCGAGAAAAAAGTCGAGAAAAAAGTCGAGAAAAAAGTCGTGCAAAAACTCAACACGATCCTATAAGTTAGCAACGTTCGAAAGTTAATTGCGATTCAAACAAATTATTAAGCGCGATTCAAAAAGTTGAAAGCAATATTCGTATGGCCCTTCCGGGCTTCCGTATATTTCACATGTGCCGAATACATTAAAAACAATAGATAATGAGGCATTTCAGCTCATTATCTATTGTCTTTAATGTATTCGGTACATGTGAAGTACGGCGTATGAAACAGGCCTTAGGCCTGGTCACATAGTTGAAAAAAGTGTTTTTTCTCCTTTTTGCTGTTTTTCAGTTTTTAAATTAAACCTTGTTTTTTAGCACTAAAAACTGAAAACAATTCCTTAAAAAAAAAAGCCTTAAAACTCTTCAAAATATCTATTTTTAAGGATAATTCCTTAAAAGTGAGAGCAGTATGGTGGCCCATTGACGCCATAGTATTTTTTTCCATCTTTCACCGAATGAAAATATTCTTACCATTGCACGAATAGAAACATTCATTATTTGTTTTATATAATACCAAAATAGACTAATATTAAAAGGTTTACTGTAAGCTCCCGTCATTTTGACGAGTCGTATTTGCATTAAATCCCATTTACTGAGTTTCGAATATCGGCACAGATATCGGGTTGAAATAAACTGCGATCACCGTACGAGAAGCATTTTGACGGATGCGATTTATCGAAAACACAAAGAGTGCAATGGAATAAAACGTATAGTACAATTGAGGGTCCTGAAGGGGGAGGGGGTCCCAATCCCATGCATTTCCCACCTGAAATTTTGGCCAAATCCCAGTCCCAGTTGGATTTTTATTAGAAATCCCAGTCCGAGTTATTGAAATCCCAGTCAATAAAAAAAGTTATTTATCGATAGAATAAACAGTCTTAAGAGGCTGTCTCTGTAAGAACCGGGCACCCAGTTCTGCAAGGAAATACGAAAGTCTTCAAATTTTTCACAATAATTGTCCTTTCAGGTACTTGTATGAAAAAAGAAATCGGTTTGCGTTAAAAAGCTTTTTTTGTAAAATTTGGACCATCGATATTTTACACCGTGACAGGCCCAAAATGGCGGCCTGAAACTGCCGTAAATAGCAGATTTTCGTACGACTCTCGCGAAGCAAGCAGGTAAGTGAGAGTCTTAAGTATCAAAATATTTTAACAATCAGTGCTTATAGTTTCTTACAACAAAAAATCAGGGGCATCTATCCGGGATTTGAGGAGAAATAATTTTCTGAAAAGATACACTTTTACTAGTTTGCAAAGTCACATATCATAAGACAAATTAAATAGCAATTTTCGTAAGTTTGGCACCTTATACCAAGTACACATTACTACCATTGTAAACCTAGAGTTGTGGTTTTTTAACGGGAAACGTAAAATATTTGGGCACTTGACGGGCACAGCCACAAATCATCTACAAAGTTTGATAATTTTCCTGTAATTGAGGAGTGACGACGCATGCGTTGCTAACGTAATTTTTCTTGAAAACCCTCATCCAGCAACATTGCTTGAAAAAATAACTTTAAAGTCAACTTTTATTTTGCTTTTGTTTATTAAACGTTTCGCAATTAATACGCAAATATTTTTTCTGTGGCGCTTGGTCATTTATTTTTGTTTCGTTACCCGCAGGAACGAAACGGTACTGTATTTGGTTTCGAGCAATTATCACAGGAAAGTGACGTCAGAGATCAAAGTTATCCAATCCTTTGCCAGTATTCTTGCTCAAACGTCAATTACATTTAGAATCGTCCAATGAGATGACCGCTCCTAGCATAAGAAGTTTTTTGGAGGCGTGGCGTATAATCGGAAATCTTAGTTATTAATTATATATCAACCTATGAGAACATGCTAACTTAACCTGAAGTTCAGGCCCTAATTTTAAATAGGGCCTGACACAAAACCTGTCTAGACCGTGGGACGCTCCCATGTTATTTTTAGACACAGCATGCAATATGATTGACAAGTGTTATAGATTTCGTTACACAAAAAATTTATATTCTCATGAACATGTCTGGAGAGTGTGCATTTCGCTTTTTAATTAAACTTAAAAATTCAAGGTACTTTTATATAATTAAGAGTCAGTTTCTCTATTTAACCGAACAGCAAACGAAGATTCAGGCTATGTTTACATTGTATCGGATCGGTTTTTGCTTCGTTCACGAAACGCTACGGCCCAAGTGTAAACAGCTTCGGCCCTCGCCCATCTAACTGCAAAAATATTATAAGTGAGCAAGCTATACCCGCAAATAAGATTAGAATAGCAAGTCTTTGTTTCCCAGATGCCATCTTGAGCATGGGCGTACCGGAAGGAAAAAATTAGGGGGGCGGAAAGAAAATTGCCCGACTTTTCGGAATTCTGCCCGACTAGTACCAAAAAAATTTTTCCGGAAAAATTTTTTTGGCGACCTCCCCCCCCCCCTTGGTCAGTGTACCATTTT